GTCGAGCATTGGTGCCGATTAGAACGTGGACCCTGACTGCGGCATCGATGACTGGTTCGTCGACTTGAAGGGTATCCGTCGCAGCAGTGCCGGGCCAACTTGTATCCAAGCTGCGCCTGGGACCCATCGTGATTGGTTCTGTGCTTCGGAAGGCTTCTCTTACCGCATGTGCGCCCCGTCGGCTGATAGCGCTGCCGACACTTTCCCGCGCTTGCCTGTAGTGGCGGAGGTGACGGGCAAGCCACGTGCTATGTGCTGTCGTGTGCCCATTGAGCCCAAGCCGCTACCATGCCAACAGAGCCGCCTGTTGGGTGTTCGCCGTTTCCGCCTATACGTGAATGGTTGCAGGTGCAGCAGCGGCTCCGCGATGCTGAGTCAGCCGAGAGCTTGGCCGAGTGCTGGGACGAGGTGTTGATTGGTCTAGAAGCAAAGCTGCTCGACAGGCACGGTATGCGGGGCGAAGCAGAGCGTCGCCAACATCACGGCAACGCCGGGCCTCCTCAGTACAAGTGGCAGCAGCTGAAGGCGTCAGCGCCTAACTTGCCCAAGTCGCTCACGGCATGAAGATCGTTCCACAGGTGGCTGCGTCATCTTCGAAGTGCGCGAATCAAGCTCAAGCGGTGCGTGGACCAGCTCAACTGGGTTATCGAGTATTCGCCATGTGCCGAGCTCACCCTGATGTGTATGAGTCGGTTGATGTATGATCGGTTTGGATTTTTCACGAGAGTTCGACGTGGCAGGTGGGTCCGCGTTTTTCTTCCAGCAGACGCATGTGGCTTTTTTGAGGACCCGATTGCCGGCTTCTGCCGTGGCGATTTCGACGTGGAGGTGCAGGGGCTCATTGACATGGCAGAGAGCGCATCGCTGAAGGCATGGGCGAGTCTTCGGCCAGTTGGGCCAGATGGGCCCAAGATGCGCTCGTCGAGGGAGCTGGCAAGGCGCACCGATACTCCAAGGTTCGTGAGCTGCAGGAGGTAGCCGATGACAGGGGTGAGGCGTGCCAACCGTTTGAGCGCGTGGACGAGTGCGTAGATGAGTTGCAGACCATATGGAACCTACATGGATGCTCAGAGGTGCCGCTGCCCGCCGACGCAAATGAGTGGCCGTTGCTCGAGCCTTTCTCGGCCCAGCAGATTCGAGAAGTATTGCGAGGTTTCAAGTCGACGGCGCCGGGCCAGGTGAAGCTGCGCCCGCGCTCGCTCGACGCGTGCTCCGACGTGGCGCTGGGGGCGCTCGCGCTGCTGCGCGCCACCTGCGGGCGCCTTCTTTGCTGGCCTTGCAACAGAGTGCAGTCTAGGCTGATCAGGCTGAGCAAGCCCTCTGGGGGCCATCGTCTCGTCGCGCTTTTGAACACTTTAGTTCGTATCTGGGGGCGGCTCCGTCGGCCGATCTCGCAAGATTGGGGAGCTCGGAATCGACGCCCCGCCTTTTGGGGGAGTGGGCCCGCCAGGAGCTCTTCCGATGCTGCCTTCGCTCATAATGTTGAGGCGGACGTGCCGCGCGCGGTGGGGGAGTTCAGTCTCGGTTCTGATCGATATGTTCAAATGATATGAGTGCATCGTTGTACCAAGCTGCTGGAAGAAGCACGTGCCCTCCAGTATCCCTTGCGTATGCTTTGGGTGGTCTTGTGTTCTTACCGTTGTCCCAGGGTCGTCCAGGCGTTCGGGTCTTTAAGCCTGTCCGTGGTCACCGACCAAGGGATTCTGGCTGGGCGCAGTCGCGCCAACACGATGATGCACCTTCTCTTGCATCGCGTGGTGGCGCGATGTTGCGAGTTGTTTTATCCCATCATTCCACGCATCTTGATGGGTGACGCTAGCTTCCAGTGGATAGGCAGAGATTTGAAGCAGTCAGGGCCCTCTGTGGCCGCCGTCCAGTGGTTTTCCCGCAGGGCCTACCGTTTTGGCTTCATTTTGCAGGTGGCCAAAAGTGGTTTTGTGGCCTCGACGGCCCGTGCCGCGGCCAAGATCGGCTCGACGGTTAAAATCATTCGCTTGAACAGCCACCGGCACATGCGTAACCTGGGCCACGAGGTGTTTTCAGGCCGCCCGCTGCGCGTACAGGAGCGCTGGCGGCTTTTTGGGGGTGATGTCTCGCAAGCGCAAGCTGCTCGCGCTGAAACGTGGAGCCCCTGGTAAGGTCGCCGCCCTCTGGCGCGCTGGTGTGCTCCCAGCGGGTGCTCGCGGCGCGGGCGTGTCTGGCACCACCGACAGCACCCTCGTGGCCTTGCGCGCGCTCGCTGTTTCGCTAGTCGGTGCTAAGCGGTCAGGCTCCCTCGCGGCTTGGCTGATGACTCAGCGCGATCAGTATTTCGATCCTGTGTTTAACGCTTGCGTTCCGTTGCTTTTGAGATACTGCTCCATGATTCGGGGTAGCAGAATCTCCCTGGGCCGGCTCCAGCGAGCCTGGCTTGAGATTTCGGGCCGAGCTAAGGACGCCCAGTCTTGGAAAGTTGGTAAAGGTCCCGTCTCCGCCGTTTTGCTTAGCTTGCGACGAGTAGGTTGGTGCCTGCGGTCGGCCCACCTTATCGAAAGTGACGGGGGGCACCTGCGCAACCTGCTGCGCGAGTGCCCGCGCGATGTGCGTGCTGCGCTGCGTCTCGGCATAGCTAGGTGACAGGCCAGACGCGTGCTCCAGCATGTCTCCGAGGCGACTGGTGCCGAGGAGATCTGGGTGATGAGGGCTTCGTCACGGTGTGCTGAAAATCTCGGACCAGAAACGCCACGGGGCTGCGCGGTGTGTCCTGGGGTCAGCGATGTGGCCTCCTGCCCGTCGGAAAGCAGCTGGATGCAGCTACTGCTCGGACTGCCAGTTTTGTGGCAAGAAATACACTGGGACAATGGGCCGCCAACTCTACGATGGCGAACCCGTGCTCGAGTGCCCACGACAATTTGATTCATTTTATCCTGATGACGTCGTGGAATGGAGGGGTGTGCTCCGTGCGAGAGGTGAGGCTGGTCTTGGGGGGCCCGACTGAGACACGCTTAGCTCGCCTACTGTTTCCCCTTCCAGAGGTGCAAGGTCCCCCCAGTCCCCTCGGAGCCCCCCGTCCATTCCTGGGGTCTTGCCCTTGGGCCTTGGGGGCGGCGCATTTGCACCGACGGTTCGGGGCTGGCGGGCTCCAGTCCAGAATTTAGACGGTGTGGATTTGCCGCGGTGGAGTTGGGCCCAGAGGGGCTCCCGATCCGTGCGGCGTTCGGGGCCCTCCCTGGGCGGCGTCAGTCGGTGCCTCGGGCTGAGCGCTGCGCCATTCTCCAAGCCCTTCGGCGGGCCCCCCCAGGCGCCCAGGTAGCGTCTGATCATTTATCTGCCGTGCGTGAAGGGGCGGAGTGGCCCCCGGCCCTTGCGCAGGGCCAAGCCTTGCACGCGGATATTTGGCGCAGCATTTTCGGTCTGTTTCAAGAGGGCCAGGCGCGCCCCACCTTCCAGTGGATCAAAGCCACAGAGAGTGGGGCGATATCCTCGACGCTTCCTCGGCCCAAGAATCCAGGATTTCCTCGGTGACCCATGGGCCGATTTGTTCGCCAGGTTGGGGTCCGAGGGCCGCGCCGTTGCCACTTCTGTGGTTGATGGATGCTCAGAAACAGCATCTAGGCGACACCAGGAAATATTTCGACTTCCTGAGCCGGTTCGCCCAATCGATCGCTTTGCTTTCATCGGACCTCTCGACCCCTGATGTCCAGCCCGCGCGCCGCCCCGTGGCCAAAGCGGTGCTGGTGCAGCACGAACTGTTCCACTTTCCTGCGATGGGCGAGTGGAGGTTCAAGCAGTGTAATCTGTGGGCGCGCACCCTCGACTCCCTGCTTCAGCTGGGGTCAGGGAGTCGGCGCGAGTGCATGCCCACTGCCGTGCAGGCGTTTCAAGCAGCGGAGTTCTTTCAGGCCCACGGGGCCAGTGCCAAGCCTGTCAGGTCGGAGGCGGTGCAGGAAGCGTTGTCGTTTGCCAGTGTTGTCCTGGGGCCCGCTCCTGTGCCAGCACCGCCCCGGCCTGAGGCGCATAGCCAGTGGGCAGATCTCGGCCACGCCGTTGAGCGAGAGGGCCGTGTGATTTATTGTTCTCTGTGCAGTGCTCACCTGATTTTGCCCGATGGGCGCGCGGACTTAGCCCCCAATGTAACGGGCGCAGTCCGTGTCCACGCGAGTACCCGATCGAGCCAGGCCCTGAAGATAAAGTATGCTTCGCGTGGTCTCCACCCACGGACTGGGCAGCGACTGGAACTCCTCAGCGCTGCCCAGCCTGTCGATCCGCCCGCCCCTGCTGCCGCCGCCAGTGCAGCAGCGCCGTCCTGCCCGCTAGCGCCTGCTCGCGTCGCCGCTGGCCTCCGATTGGAGGAGGCGGCCCTCTCGGGAGGGGAGCTGGGCGGGGACCTCGGGGTGGAGTCGGGATCGGACTGACGCAACTCGTTTTGCTTTCAGTTTTGGGGAGGGGGGCCCGCCAGGGGCTGAGGAGTGCCGCCTATGCAAAGCCGCTCCGACGCCTGACAAAAGTGTGACGGCCCCCCTCCAACACTGTCCGCCTGGCCCTGTCAGGCGAGGAGCTCTACCTGGCTGGTAGCCAGGCCGTGCTCTCCCTTCCTGTTCGGCCCGCCCGCTCGTCACAGACTTGCGCGCGTCGGCCTCGAGTCCTCCTCCTCCTCCTCCTCCTCCTCCTCCTCCTCCTCCTCTCCATCTTCCTCCTCCTCCCCCTCCTCCTCCTCCTCCCTCTTCCTCCCCTCCCCCTCCTCCTCCTCCTCCCTCCTCCTCCTCCTCCTCTCCTTCCTCCTCCTCCTCCTCCTCCTCCTCCTCCTCCTCCTCCTCCTCCTCCTCCTCCTCCTCCTCCTCCTCCTCCTCCTCGGGTCGCCTACGGCCCTGGGGGAAACCGTGCACCGGGAGGGGGGGATGCATGCAAGAGTGTGTGATAAGGAGGGGGGAGTTCTTTAGAAGACTCATGGAAGAAACCCTACCAGGCAGCACTTGGCACCCTGCCACGCCTGAGCGTTAACATGGGGGTTGCGGTGGCGGATTTCGATCGCGGTTGGTGTTTCTGCGAGTCTTCTTGGGTCATGTTGTCTAAGCCTTCTGCCTTCTTAGTGGACCTCGGGCTTCTCACGGGGGATGAGACGTGTTATTTTGGAGGGTTTGGTACTGACGATTTCGAAGGCTCGCTGGTGAAGACGTGTGCCGCAGGGCGGAAGGCGCCCCTCCTGCCCGACGCTTTCGAAGCGATGCTCTGGAGCAAGGGCTTCACGAACGGAAAGGACGATCGCCCAAGGGTCGCCGAGCTGTACCGCGAAGCGTTCGCTCAACGCTTCGAGTCTGCAGAATCTCTGGGGTATTCACGCCTCTGCTGGGGGGACGAGGAGGTCGAGCAGTTGGCCACCGTGCTCACCTCGGGCGCCGCGCCGCGGCTGATGCGGTTCTACCTCGCCGACAACCGCGTTGGGGACGAGGGCGCGGCGCGCCTGGCCGCCGCCCTTGGCGCGCTGCAGGAGCTGCGGGTGCTTGGCCTCCGCCACAACCGCGTGGCGGACGAGGGCGTGGCGCGCCTGGCCGCGGCCCTCGGCGCGCTGCCAGAGCTGCGGGAGCTTCGCCTCGGCGGCAACCGCGTGGGGGACGAAGGCGTGGTGTGTCTGGCCGCGGCCCTCCTGGCCCCGGAGGCCCCGCAGAACCTGCAGTTGCTCGACCTCTACGAGAACCGCGTGGGGGACGAGGGCGCGGCGCGCCTGGCCGAGGCTCTCGGCGCGCTGCCAGAGCTGCGGGAACTCGGCCTCGGCGGCAACCGCGTGGGGGACGAAGGCGCGGCGCGCCTGGCCGCGGCCCTCCGGGCCCCGGAGGCCCTGCAGCACCTGCAGTTGCTCGACCTCTACGGGAACCGCGTGGGGGACGAGGGCGCGGAGCGCCTGGCCGAGGCCCTCCAGGACCCCAAGGCTCGGGTCGACCCAACAGAGGGTCCAGCGACAAGGGGGTGGTGCAATAGATCTGGTGCAATAGATTTGTGGGGTTCCAATACCTTTGGGGCGTGCAATACATTCCGGGGCGCAAATGTGTTGCTGTATTTTCGCGTGCAGTACATTACTTGCAGTGCAATGCAACGCAACTCTCCGGTGAAACACATTTGCAATACGCTTGCCCCAAGTCTATTGCACGACCCCTTTCCCCCTCTTGGGTCACCCAAAGAGGCCCTGCCCGGCCTGCGGGCTGTCGTGCTCCACCACAACCCGCTCGGCAGTGGCGCGCGGGCGGCGCTGCGCGCGGCGTGGGCCGAGGCCGGACGGCCCGAGGGCGGCGCGTTCGAGGCTCCGGGCTTCGGCACGTGCCCCACGGGTCTGCGCCTGTCGTGAGGGCCCCACGGGCCCGCCTTCGTGGGGGGCGGCCTGGGCGCCCTGGAGGGTTTCTCCGACGGGCTTTGGCGACCCGTCCTCCTCCTCCTCCTCCTTTTCCTCCTCCTCCTCCTCCTCCTCCATCTCCTCCCCCTCCTCTTCCTTTTCCTCCTCCCCCTCCTCCTCTCTCCACCTCCTCCATCTCCTCCTCCCCCATTCCTTCTCCTTACCGATCACTTCTCCCTGTCGCGCCCCGAGGCCAGTTTTGAGGGCGGGCTGGGCGTTTCGCCAGAGACTTCCTCACCATTTATGACTAAAAGTGACACAAGTTTCACAGATGGAGGGCGGGTCGTAAACGTGGCTCTCGCCTTCGCGCCGCGCATATTTGCTTTGAAAATTTGCAAGAGTTTCACGGATTGGGGGCGGGGGGGGTTCAACATGTGGCTCTCGCTTCAGCGCCGTGCGCATTCGTTTTAAACAGTTGCAAGAGTTTCACGAATTGGGGGCGGGGGGTTTTCAACATGTGGCTCTCGCCTTAGTGCCGTGCGCACTCGTTTTAAATATTTGCAAGAGTTTCACGGATTGAGGTCGGGTCGTTCTCAAAATGTGGCTCTCGGTCTAGCGCCGCGCATACTCTTTTTCAAAATTCGCAAGAGTTTCTCAGGTTGAGGTGGGGTGGTTTTCAAAATGTTGCTCTCGCCCCAGCGCCGCGCACATTCGTCTTCAAACTTTACAAGAGTTTCAATGATTTCCAGGATCAACGTACCAGAAATGATGTTTTGGAAGGATTCAGGATTTTGCGGGTGCAACAATTGTGTTGGTTCGAGGTGTTGAAGTCCCAACAATGGCGTTCTGGCGCGATTCCGGATCGTCAAGACGCATCAGTCAGGGTGATACGTGGCGTTGAAATCCCGAGAACAATGCTTTGGCATGCTTCAGGATCTTCAAACGGTTGTCTTCCAACGAGGCAGTTCCCTCAATGGAAATGAGCCGTTGTGGGGACCCATGGAGAGGGAGCTTGGGGGGAGGGTTCATACCAACATCGTTGATGACTCTTGATTTTGCACTGGTTCTCCTCTTCTTCCTCCTCCTCCCCCTCCCCCTCCCCCTCCTCCTCCCCCTCCTCCTCCTCCTCCACCTCCTCCTCCTGCTGCTGCTCCTGTTCCTCCTCCTCCTCCTCCTCCTCTTCCTCGGGTCGCCTGCGGCCCCGGGGGAAAACCGTGCGCCCCCGGCCTGCCTTCGTGGGGGGCGGCCTGGGCGCCCCTCGTGGGCGGGCGGCCAGAGGGCGCCGCTTTTCCTTGCCCCGCGCAGAGACCCAGTGGCCCCGAGGTCCTGGCGTCGCAATCTTTAGGCATTGTTTTTGTTTTTTTCCATTCTCTCCCCCGTTCCCTTTTTTTCCGTTCGGCCGCCCCACATTTGTTGTTGAATTTTCATTTCGGAAGAATAATTATTGTTGATCCCCCCCCACCGGTGCATACTGTTTCTTCCCAATCAAAGTGTGCCCCTCGACGCTCGCACCCGGTTTTTTGACAGGGAAAGTCTTCCTGCTCAAACTGGCCCTGGCCCCCGGGTTACAACAACAACGGCTCACGCTTGAGACTTCCTTGCAATTTAGCCAGGACCCCCGCTCCCGCCCGAGACTTCCTCGCATTTTATTCAGGAGTCGCGTTCTCGTTTGGGACTTCCTCACAATTTATTCAGGAATCGCTCTCCCGCCGCTCTGGAGTCGCGCTCTCGCTGGAGACTCGCTTGCAACTTACTGAAGAATGGCCTTGCGTGGGAATGTCCTGCAATTTGCCCAAGCGCCGTGCGACCGACATCCAGGCACCCAGGAGTCGCGCCCGTTGTGGCCTCATGTGCATGCCCTTCGTGGCCCCGCTGTCGCCATTTGTGTCCCCCTCACTGTCCTACGTGGCCCAGTTGCTACCCTCAGTGGCCCCATAGTTGCCTTCTGTGGCCCCGCATTATCTGCACTTCGTGGCCCCCGCTCGTTCGCGCTCTTCGTGGCCCCACGCATTTTTTTCGTGTCCCCGCTGTCGCCCTTCGTGGCCTACTTCGTGCCCTTCGTGGCCCTGCTGTCGTTCTCTCTCGCTCTCGCTTTCGCTCGTCGTCGCCGTCGTCGTCTTCGTCGCCGTCGTCGTCGTCGTCGTCGTCGTCATCGTGGTGGGTCCCCTGTCCGTCCCTCTTGGGGTCGGGTCGACGGTCCGCGGCCGCCCCGCCGATCAGCGCTGCCGCTGACCAGGCCGACGGTCCGCGGCCGCCCCGCCGCTTGCCGGGGCCAGCCCTGCAGGGAAGAAAGGTATACCCCCCAAAAGGGGTTCGATCGAAGACGAAGATGGCGGGTATCGAGGGTTTGGGAAATACGCGTTATTGGACACTCGAGCATATCCAGGCGAACAGTTTTGACATTATTATTATTAGTATTATTTTTATTGTTGTTGTTGCGGTTGTTAAGCTCTCATTTTTGAAGAATTAGTATTGTTGATCCCTCCTCACCAGCGCATTCTTTGTCTCAATCAAGGTGTGCCCTTCGACGCTCGCACTCTGTTTTTTGACTGGGGAAGTTTTGGTGCTCAAACTATGCCCCTGGCCCCCCGGATTGCAACAACAACGGCTCCCGCTTGAGACTTCTCCAAATTTTCTCAGGACCCCCGCCCCGGAGATTTCCTCACAATTTATTCAGGATCGGTGCTCCCGCATGTGACTCCCTCGCAGTTGAGTCAAGACCCCCGTTCCCATCTGAGACGTCCTCACAATTTCCTCAGGAACGGCGCTCCCGCTTGAGACTTCCTCGCAATTGAATAAAGAGTTTCTCTCAATTTAATTAAGACCACCGCTCCCGACAGAGAACCCTTCACATGTTCTTCAGGAGTTGCGCTCTCGCCTGTGACTTCCATGCAAAGTATGCAGAAATCGCGCTTTCGACGCTCAGGAAACACGCTGCGCCAAGGACGCTTCTACAATTTGTTGTATTCGCGCTCTCGCCATTCTCAGGCATCCCGCTTGAATGTCCCACCCGCCCGACCCGCCCGTCAGGGGATCGCCCGCCCGTCGTGGGCTCCCGCCCGAGACTTCCTTCAGGAACGGCGCTTTCGCTAAGGACTTCCTCGATCGTTCACGCTCTTACCTTCCTGATCCTTCTCCCTCTCCCTCCTCCCTCCTCCCTCCTCTCCTCCCTTCTCTCTTCCTCCTCTCTTCCCTCATCCTTATGCCTCTCTGCCCTATCCCCTCTCCCTCCTCTCCCTCCTCCCTTCTCCCTCCCCTCTCCTGCCTCTTCCCTCCCTCTTTTTTTCTTTGTCTCTCTCTCTCTCTCTCTTTCTCTCCCCTCTCTGTCTCTCTCTTTCTCTACCTTTCTTATATGTCTTTCTCTCTCTCTCTCTCTTTCTCTCTGCCTCCAATCAACCGTCCCCCTCTTCGCTCCTTCTCTCCTGGCGTTCTCCCTCTTCCTACGTCCCTCCCCCCCTTCCTCCCGCCCTCTCTCGCTCCCCCTTCTCCTCTTTTTGCATGGCACGCCCGCGAAGCATTGTCCGCCCGTTCAGGTTTGCCCGCCTGTCTAAGCCCGCCGCCCCCTCGCAAAGAGAAAGCATCCCCCCAAAGGGGGTGTGATCAAAGACAAAAAGACGTGTATCGAGGGTGTGGGGATTCGTTTTGAATGACACGCGGGCAAGTAAGAGCGAACAATTTTATAATGATTGGTTGTCGTTGTGGTTGTGGTTGTGGTTGTGGTTGTGGTTGTGGTTGTGGTTGTGGTTGTGGTTGTGGTTGTGGTTGTGGTTGTTGTGGTTGTTGTGGTTGGTGTGGTTGTTGTTGTTGTTGTTGTTGTTGTTGTTGTTGTTGTTGTTGTTGTTGTTGTTGTTGTTGTTATGTTTCGTGTGTGTTTTATTCTTGTTGTTGTCGTTGATGTTGAGTTTTCATTTCTGAAGAATAATTATTGTTGACCCCTCCCCACCGGTGCACATTGTATTTTTCAATTGAAGTGCCTTTCCCGGGGCTCGCACGTTGTTTTTTATTTGGGAAAATCTTGAGGTTCAAATTGTGCCCCTGGCCCAGTGGTTACAACAACAACGGCTCCCGCTTGAGACTTCCTCCACATTTACTCAGGACCCCCGCTCCCGCCTGAGACTTCCTCGCATTTTATTCAGGAATCGCGCTCTCGCTTGGGACTTCTTTGCGATTTATTGAGGAATCGCTCTCTCGGCGCTCTGGAGTCGCGCTCTCGCTGGAGACTTGCTTTCAAGTTATTCAGAAATAGCGCCCTTGCGTTTGAATTTCCAGCAATTTACTCAAGCGCCGCGCCCCCGACACTCAGGCACCCAGGAGGCGCGCTCACGCTTAGAACTCCCCCTCACATATGATTTAGGAATCGGGATATCGCTGCCCTTCGTGGCCCGGTTGCAGCCCTTCGTTGCCCTTCGCTGCCCTTCGTGGACCCGTTGCAGCCCTTCGTGGCCCCCTCGCTACTCTTCGTGGCCCCGTTGCAAACCTTCGTGGCCCCCTTGCTGCCCTTTGTGGCCCCGTTACAGCCCTTCGTGGCCCCCTCGCTGCCCTTCGTGACCCCGTTCCCTTCGTGGCCCCCTCGCTGCCCTTCGTGGCTCCGTTCCCTTCGTGGTTCCCTCGCTGCCCTTCGTAGCCCCGTTGCACCCTTTCGTGGCCCACTCGCTGCCCTTCGTGGCCCCGTTGCTGCCCTTCGTGGCCCCGTCGCTGCCCTTCGTGGTCCCGTTGCATCCCTTTGTTGCCCCCTTGCTGTCCTTCGTGGTCCCGTTGCAGCTCTTCGTGGCCCCCTTGCTGCCCTTCGTGGGCCCGTTGCAGCCCGTCGTGGCCCCATCGCTGCCCTTCGTGGCCCCATATATGTATGCACTTCGTGGCCCCCGGTGTCGCCGTTTGTGGCCCCTTCGCTGCCCGTCGTGGCCCCGCTGCTGCCCTCAATGGCCCCGTCCTTCCTTTCCGCGGCCCAATTTACGTATGCACTTCGTGGCTCCCGCTCGTTCGCGCCCGTCGTGGCGCCATGTGCATGCTTTTCGTGGCCCCGCTGTCGCCCTTCGTGGCTCCCTCGCTGTCCTACGTGGCCCAGTTGCTACCCTCAGTGGCCCCATGGTTGCCTTCTGTGGCCCGCATTATCTGCCCTTCGTGGCCCCCGCTGTTTCGTGCTCT